AAAATTATAATTCATCGGTAAGTACAATTTATTTAGCAGACATGTTAATTTGTAGGTTGCACCAAATGTAGGTTTGTAAACTCACGCATAGGGTTGTAAAGTATTGCGAAGGTAAGTTTTCTGAGGAAATATACTAGGTTATATCATAAATATTTAACGCCCCCCTTTAATTCTTAGTAATATGAATATAATAACAAATATTTTTATATCAATATTATTTTTGTACACCATTTTTACTGCTGACAGGCGGTATAATAGCTTCTTATACAGCAAATTAGCAGTATGAGCGCCATGATACCACTCTGATTATAGTTTAGGGTTCCTTAGAACTTCCTATAAAGTTTTCTAAAAAAGACTTTTTGTTTGATTTTCCATTTATTCCAGTCCATTTTCGATAACTGTAAACTACTCACAGCATTTTACACAAAACAATCTGATCGGTGTAATGGATACAATTATACGACATTTTAGGCTTGTAATAGTCGTATAAATGCGACGTATACTACATAATAGTAGTATAAAAGCAACAATGTTGCTTTTACTCGACTGAGTCAACCTTGCCATAAGAAAGCTATATAATATGCTTTTACTCGACGAAATAGTAACATAAGCGTCGTATACTAGCGACTTATTCAGCAAAATATTATATGACACTTAAGTCATATAAGGATGCTGACTAAACGTTTACTCAGCATCATTATGTGACCGAAATGCTGAATAACTCAAAAGCTATATAATATGCTTTTATACGATACGTGCTGAATAATTCATACTTACTCGACTTTTATAACACCGAAAAGCTGAATAAACTTTACCTTATATGACTAATTTGCTAGTTGGGTAGTAAACGAACACGTTTCACGTCCGAAGGACATAATTAGCAACACTAGTCGAAGACTTTCGTCTTGGGAGACTGAAGTAGCTAGGATTTTTCGTAGCTTCCCGAACGCTGCCTTCTAAACGAGAGATCTCCTTCGCGAATTTGGACTTACCTAACTGGACTATCTGTCCAAGGTATACATATGATTGACAATTTCAAGTATAGTGTTCCCAATTTTATCCAGAGTGGGTACAATATGGGCATTTGAAATGATTTTTATCTTTCCCGTGTTTATCTTAGAACTCATTCTTTGAGAAGCACTACTGAGATCTTCGAGCATGGTAGTCAGGTCTTCCAAACTCTCAGCCTTAATAGTTATCTTTATTATCCGCAAAGCAAAGGTGTATTAGGACTCACCATTTACATTAATGCAGTATCCTTTCTAGTCCAAAAGCTTAAAAATATCTTACAATATAGCGGTGAAAAGTATTGGAGAAACATCTCCTTGTCTCACGCTTCGCTGCAATTGAATTGGATTTGAGTTCTGGTTTTGTAATCGGACAACCGTGTACACCTGTAGTCCACTTGTTGCCACTGGAGAGATTGAAACACTGCCAATGACTCGATCGAATCGAAGGCTTACTCGTAGTTTACAAACACCATGCAACGTGGCAGATTATATTCCTCGATCTTTTGTATAATATAAATCAGTATTAATATAATTAATACTCTGAATATAATTCAATCTGAAATTTCAGATTGTTCTGAAGCATTAGCTGAATGTCTTAAAAAGCTACTTAACGTTTCCAATAAAAGGTACAGGTTTCTGACAAAATCCCATGTACTCCTAGGTGGGATCGTGAGTGCACTAACATTTTATTAAACAACGTAAAGAGGTTGAAAAAAGTCATAGTCTTTGTATGTCACCTGACAATTACAAATAATTTTGTAGCATAATTTAAACTACAAGAAAGTTATCAAAGCAGAAGAAAAGAAACAGTTGGATGTCTTTTTGTGCTTCTCTCTCTCCAAACTCATGTCCACCCGACGTGTAGCGTAATATCAAACGTTTTAGATCAGCGTTTAGCTCCCATTCTCATAATATTATCTCTTCTTCTTTAGCTGGCTGTTATATGGATTATTTAGTACCTCTGATAGTTTTGGATCCATGAACATTAATGATTTTTTTCCACACTCAACAAATCATACTCTTAATGATTCAGTTTCCCTTACTGAACTTAAGGGTTTCTTAAGTAATGTAAAGGATAGTTTACCTGGTGAAGATAGGATAACACTCATTTTTTGTTAGATTTATTATCTTTTTCGGACAGATTTTATCCGAAGCGTAATGAAACTCTGAACACATTATACACAGTGCACAACTTTCCCTGGACCTTTTACGCGTCCAACCATCCGCACTGCTTATAAAGGCGTCAGTGTCCATTTTGATATTATAATTATTATTTACAGTTATATTATATCCAACAGGGGGACCTAGGTTAGAACTTTTCAGGACTAATGTCGTTCTACTATATGTTTTTACAAACATGTAGTAGAACGACATTAGAAATTACTTTTTGTAATCAATAATACCCTTTTGTATCATTGCATACTTAAATCAATATCATACTATTTAATTAGGTATTCTTTGAAACAATATTATTAAAATACAACAAGTAATAATAATATTTACTGTTTACAAATACATGAATATGTGCGATCATGGAAATTACGTGATTTAAATAGTAAGTATAACTATAATAATAATAGGCTTACACGATTTAATAAAATTATATATGTGTAAAATAAAAGAATATGAACATTTTCTAAAGTAATAAAGATATAAGAAAAATAGCGGCAAAGAAAATTTCCTAGCGCTATTTATCCATTGATCTGACTGATAGAAGATGAAACAGTGACGTTCCGTTTCACCTTAATTTGAATTTACCACTGAAATGAAAATCAAATTTAAATTCATTTTCATTTTACATGTAGAAATTTATTCATTCAATTGATATTGGCAGAATTGTGCGAAATGCGCAGATAAGCCATTAATAAAAAAAGAATTTACCACTTATTTGCCACTTACGTTAAAACGTTATATTACAGGTACCTTCAAATGTGTAAAACTGCAGTGATTTTGTCATTAACTGCAAATTATCTGATATATTTTCTTCAAGTGATTAAGTTTGGAGTTAAGCGGTTGTAATCACAAATTATACTTGATTCTAAAATGGAAACTGCAAATACTCCTGTGGTTGCGGCCGCTGCTGGTCAAATGTATAAGGTATCAAATCGTGGAGGTCGTGGTGTGCCTTTTATAAAAGATGCGTATGTCAAAAAGTGTTCATGCTTGAGAGACAAGAGCATAGTGTTTTGCCGTGCTTGTGGTTATTACTGTAACGGACGTATTCGCTTGAAGTGCGAGGAGCATCCGCGGGTAATATGTTTAGTTTATGTATAATTTTTTCAAGTAGGATTGATGATTTCTATAACTATACTTATTAGGTAAGGTAATCTTGTTACTGTATGTCGTGTAATGCTATATAGTTACAAGTTATTTAATATGGCCCTAAAGAATCTGTGATTAAAAGCAATTAATGAATTAGTATCAAATCCAATAAATATTTATATTTTTTCAATAACTAGAACTACAATTGTTCGGACTCCCTTATAACACATTATACCATGGTTTTACTAGGATCGTAATAGACTTTCTAGAGATAACACTACATTCTGTTAAATTTTTTCAGGTCACTTTCCTTTTGGACATAGCTGAATGCCCACGCTGCAAATCAACAGCATTTTTAGATGAATACTTCAGAAGTTCCTAATATAAGGGTTTAAGTTTTTTTTATTATTTATCCTATTGGCATCAGGGCAGATACAGGGGGAGGATCATATTGTTTTTGTAAAGTCAATCAATAAATTTAATTGAAGATAGGTATTTCATATATTTTACTCGCTTAACATACATTATGCTAGCTAGATCTTGACTTTGTCACCTGTGAGTTAAGGCTGGAACTGCCTTTGAACGGCATCTCACTGTTGAATTGAGATGATTTGAGAGACAAAAGATGTTCCTTTTGTTTTAATTCAAATAACATTAATTATCAGAAATTTGTAATTGATTTAAATAACATGCATTGTCCTGGCTGGATCTGCTCTTGAATGGTAGCTTTCTGATTAAAGAGATGATTTGAGAGACAAAAGATGTTTCTTTTGTTTTAATTCAAATTATATTAATAATCAGAAGTTTGTAATTGATTTGCATAATATGCATTGTCCTGGCTGGATCTGCTCTTGAATGGCAGCCGTCTGATTAAAGAGATGATCTGAGAGACAAAATAATTTTTCTTTTGTGTTTATTTAAATTGCATTAATTGTTAGAAATTTGTTGTTTTTTAAGAGTTTGATGAGAATGACCTGACAGAATTTATTGTTATTAGGTAAAGATAAACTAAACTCATAAGTTTTTTGTTAAAAAATTTATATGTTTAAAAATGTTCCTAACATATATGTAAGAGAAGGTTTTAATAGTTAACATTTTTAAAATGTTTCTCTGTGCCATTCTATTGTTGAAGAAAACTGCTTAATAAAATATTATTGAAATTATGTGTTATATATATTACATATACATTTATTTAGTTTGTTTTAAAATATTATTATTTAACCCTTTAAAATGCAATTGAATGCTTAGTTATAAAAGTTTCAGATTTTGATGACAAATGTTGCACTCATAATTATCACCCAGTTACTAGTAGTTAACACCCACTGCTGTTGTTGTAACAGTAACGGTCACCACCACCACAATAACGACAATCACTATCAATGTCTTCATCATAATTATTGTAGCTCAAGGTTAACTTATTATCAAAATCATATTTATGACTGTTGTTACCACTATAAATTTTATTACTAATTATTTACCATCCACAATCATTACTAATAACTTAATTAAGAATCATTCACTTTTATCACCCATTATTATCCTTACACTATTATTACCACGACCTCTTCTAACTTAGAAAACATCATCTACAATTTGTTGATTGTTTGTGTATTTTATCACAGTCCAGTTAAAATACCAATCTTATCATCAGTCAATTACTTTTGATCGTTTTTTATTCAGTTTTGTGGTGGCTAAATAAATTAAAATGATTACCATTAAAATCAAATTAAAATAGTTTCATAGAAATTGTTATTAATGTAGCTCATCATTTTATTTAAAAAGTAAATAAAAGATGAAAGGAACCACTAATAATAATACAATAGTTTTGTAAAACAAAAAATATATTGAAAAATAAACACTACATCACATTACAGTAATAACTATATTGAAAACCAACTTGGGACATCTGATCTGTTCTTATTACGATCTATATAACTTTTGAAACTTTTCTTTGCATCATCTAAAGATTTCATATTTTCGTCATCTTGATCTTCAACTTTTTCAAAGATGTTTGGAAATTCAAAGCTCATATTTTTTGGCTGTAAACACAGTTTTATAAACAGTTTTAACCTTAAGGACTTGTTAATAATTTAAAAACTGAAATTTGTGCACTTACCAGTGTAACAAACGCAATCTTCTTATCATCCTCTTTAACTACATAACCTTTTCCAATATCTTTTCTAAATTTCCCCATAGCAATTTTCGTTCTTACATCAACAACAGGAACATTATATATCTTTTCCAAATAATTTTTTATGTCATATTTAGTCATTTCCATAGAACATTCAAAATTTACAATATTGGGAAGCTGTTTGGGTGTAGGTCTTACCAATTTCATCCAAAAATTTGGTAGAAATACTCTGAGCTGCGGATTACCTCGTTGATATAGAGGATACCTGTAATTAATTTTTCAAAATATACCTTTCTTATTTCAAATTATATTAAGTAATGAATAAAAAAAATCATCACACCAACCAACGAGTTGACATTCTGATGGATTTTATATTAAAATATTGATACAAACGTGTCAGTTTATAATTTTATTGAAAAACTATTTTTAATTGAAATGACTTTAAAAGAAAAATTGAATAAAACCTAAATCTTAACCTTAAGGGTAAGGGATATACGATATACATCGATGTATTGAAAATATCGATGTTTACAATTCGATACATCGAACCAATCCGATGTTTTGAAATGCTTTCGATATACTCGATGTATCGATTTTTTATTAACAATACATCGAATTGATTACTTACAACCAACTTTCATAAAAACTCAAGTTTGATTACTAACATTTTACCTAAAATCTTTTTTCAATTTTTCATTTAAAAAAAGAAAAGTGTACTATCCAATATTGGATTAACATGTACCTACTAAAAAATTATGTTGACAACACTGCCCACGTCTGTGTCAGTGATAGTGACAACTGATAATTTAAAAAAACTGTTTACTGATGTCAGCCGGCGTGCTTTTATGTTTAAAAAATAACGAATTTAATTACATTTGGTTTTGTGTACGAAATAAGAATAAAGTGGATTGTGTATAATATACTAATATACGCTACATCTCATTACAATAAAATCTCATCTTTTTGTGAGCTCACATATTCGATCTGAGGTAAGTAAGGTTATAATAATGTTCTAGTTTACTTATTATCATGTCAACAAGAGAAGTAATACAATCAGTAATTTACTGAGTGAAAGAATTCATACCATTGCATACAAATACCTCACTATGGAAGGAACTTCGGTCCCATCCGTTTATTTTCTAAAGCGGCACAAATCGTTCATAAACAACGATATAAATTGAAAGGCAAAAGTTTAAATAAATCATTGTTTTTGTAAAGTCTCCCAAAAGAACTGGTAATAAAATATGATTAACTTAATAAAATTATTGCAGATGATTTTTTTTTTTATTCTTATGTAAATTATTATAAAGATTTCTTATTTTTATACATGGTTTTTCCTTTTTTAAATAAAACAATGTTTAAATTAGTGATGGTTGGCATGGAAAGTTGTGTTGAAGTAGTATATTTTATCTGTGTCCTGTGAATTATATTTCTTGGTATTTGTTGTAATAGCGTCAACAGAAATACATAAACTGTCTCAATATCATTCAAAAAATACTCGATGTCTACAAAATATCGATGTTTTAAATCGATACATCGAAAGACTTCGATGTACAGTTCTGACTTATCGAATCTTAAAAACATCGATGTTTTTCAAAAGTGGACACCCCTAGTACGGGTTGTAACCATGAAGATAAAGTAAAAGAAGGAGGCCAAACTCAAAAATCATCACAACAACCCGTTGAAAGCAATGCTCAGGACACCAGAGCAAAGCTGACCCGACATCACACCGAGGATATCCCAGACATCAGCCTGTACGAGATTAGAATGGCACTCAAACAGCTGAAGAACAACAAGGCACCGGGGGATGACGGAATCACTACTGAACTTTTGCGAGCGGGTGTAAAACCGGTACTCTTAGTCCTCCAGAAATTGTTCAATTCCGTCATTCTCGAGGGTACGACGCCAGAAGCGTGGCACAGAAGCGTGGTTGTGCTCGTCTTCAAAAAAGGTGACAAGACCTTGTTGAAGAATTATAGACCAATCTCGCTTCTGAGCCACGTTTATAAGCTGTTTTCGAGGGTCATTACGAATCGTCTCGAACGCCGGTTTGATGACTTCCAGCCTCCCGAACAAGCCGGTTTCCGAAAAGGCTTTAGCACCATAGACCACATACATACGCTGCGGCAGATTATACAGAAGACCGAGGAGTATAATTTGCCACTTTGCTTAGCGTTTGTGGACTATGAGAAAGCCTTCGATTCAATCGAAACCTGGGCAGTACTGCAGTCCCTCCAACGATGCCAAATCGACTACAGGTACGTCGAAGTGTTGAAGCGTTTGTATAGCAACGCCACAATGTCGATTCGCTACCAGGAAGAGAGCACGAAACCAATCCAATTGCGCAGAGGCGTGAGACAGGGAGATGTCATTTCTCCGAAACTGTTCACGAACGCATTGGAGGAGGTCTTCAAGCTCTTGGAATGGGGCGAATACGGCATCAACATCAATGGCGAATACATCACTCTCCTTCGTTTCGCCGATGATATAGTCATCTTGGCAAGATCGATGGAGCACATCAGTACAATGCTCAGCGACCTGAGTATCGTTTCCAAACAGGTGGGTCTTAAAATGAACATGAACAAGACGAAAATCATGTCGAATGTCCATGTTGCACCCGTACCGGTGGTCATTGGAACTGATACTGTCGAAGTTGTCGATCACTACGTGTACCTTGGACAGACAATCCAGTTAGGTAGATCCAATTTCGACAAAGAGGTCGCTCGAAGAATCCAACTCGGCTGGGCAGCGTTCGGGAATCTACGCGATATCTTCACGTCCAAATTACCACAGTGCCTAAAGACGAAGGTGTATAACCAGTGTGTGTTGCCAGTGATGACCTATGGCACTGAAACGTGGTCCTTAACTGCTGGCCTCTTAGAGAAGCTCAGAGTCGCTCAGCGAGGCATGGAGAGAGCTATGTTAGGGGTTTCTTTGCGCGATAGGATCCGAAACGTGGACATTCGCCAAAGAACTAGAGTGACCGACATAGCTCGCAAAGTTTGTAAGCTGAAGTGGTAGTGGGCAGGCCACATCGCTCGACGAACCGATAACCGATGGGGACGAAAGGTTCTCGAGTGGAGACCACGAACCGGAAGACGCAGCGTGGGTCGACCCCCGACTAGATGGACGGATGACATCGTCCGAGTCGCGGGCGGCCGCTGGATGCAGCTGGCGCAATGTCGTCCGTCGTGGAGTTCAAAGGGGGAGGCCTGTGTTCAGCAGTGGACGTCTTCGTCTTCGTCACTAATTGCATAGGACTTAAAACTTTATTTATATATCAGAAATAAGATCGTACATTTAATATACTCTGAAATCCAATCCAATGTAACAAAAAACTTAAACAAAAGGTTTATTAAGCAATAACTACAATTAGATAAAATCTATAATAAAAATGGTACGCAAATATTATAATCAGAAGGCAGATACATAGCTGCAAATTAATAAAAATTATTAACTTTTTACAATAATCCAGACTTGCAATTTAATTTGTTGAATTATTATTAAAACCTATAAATTGTTAAATTATATTCCACTATAGACAGTTTCACATAGAATGGATACGATGAAATTTGTTAACAGTTGATGAATAAATTATACGTATTTTTTTTTTCTAAATTTCCCCATTGTTGTGGTTCTAAATTTCCCCATTGTTGTATTAAAAATTGTTGTGGCATCTTCAAAAAATGGCAGCCTCGTGTGTGTCAATATGGCGAATAACAAGTACTAATTTCGTCAACTCGAAAATTGTGATTCATCTATAAACGTTTCTCGCTATTAAATCGTGAAAAATGGTTCAGAAATGTATAGTTCTACGTTGCGGAAGCAAATGGCATCCTGGATGTTCTTTGATATTTCACAGGTGAGTCGTAAGTTACTATAATTGATGACTGCTTGCATTTTATAAAAATAATGTTTTTAACGTAGAATCCTTCAATTTTTGATAATTTACAATAATATGGTATCTAAAGTAATATATGATTTAATTGTTTACAGTAGCATATTTCAGAAATTTTCTAATAAAAGCACAGTTCACATTGCAAAATAAAAATAAACAAATACTAATATGGTGACCATGAAAAGAAGATAAAGGATAAACAATAAAACAGAACTTAATATTTTTTATTTCACTTTTAGTTTTCCCAAGGATCTAATAAGGAGAAGTCAATGGCTGTCGAGTGTCAAATAAAAAAATAAGTTTTATAAAACTGCAAAAATATACAGTAATCACTTTGTGGCTACTGATTTTATAATAGAGAATCGGTTAAAGCATACAAAAATTCCTTTTTATTGTGATGTGGTAAGTAAAAGCTTATATTCTACTAATTAGGTACTAATTCTTAGGTAGCAAAAATAGAATACAAACTTGCGAGTGAGAACGCGAACTTGTGGCTCGACGTCCTGTATTTAAGATGACACAAGCGAAAAAGGTCGTCGAGCCACAAGTTCACGTTTGGAAGGAATAAAATATTTTTATTTTACTTAATGTAATATGTCATGAAAAAATGGTCTCGAAATATCTTAATTCCCTTATGGCAGGGTTTAGACAAAATAACCATAATTCGTTTTTTTTCCAGTCGGGACAATCTGATCTAAAAAGTGATGCATTTACCATGCCTTCTACACCTTCAACACCTTGTCGTAGGTTGTCCGATAGACTTGCTATGGTAACAATCCAATAGTATTTATTGTCATCAAAACTGTACTTTTTTAGTCACATATAAATTAAATTTAAAAATAACATAATGTTGTTTTATTTTTATCTGAGAATGACAATTACATCTGAGAATGTAAAAGAAGAATTTGATATGTAAATCAGTAAATTGACTTAAGGGTGAAATATTTACTGGGTGCTTATTCCATTTCAATTCGGTCGGAAGGAAGGTAAGCTGACAATCGTAGTCTGCAGTCTTGTAGTTCACTTTGCAAATTAGATCTACTCCGTGCTTTGGAAGGCACGTTAAGCAGTTTGTCCCGATTGTATCTGCAGTTGTAAAAACCCTTCAATCCAGAATGGACCCATTGTGGGTACATTAATAGGCTGGTGATTATTAATAAGAGCTTTTTGCCAACTCTAATTCCCACACTGCTAAGTTTTAATCAAACTCAAAAATTGTTATTTTTTTATTTGAGAACTCCCTAACGAAACTCATTAAATACTAGTATACGTACGATACAGTAAGGCTAGCAAAACTTTTTTAATTTTCTCATTTGTCCCCCGAAAATAACCCTTATTTATAAATACAAATTTAATTATTTTGTATATCTGTGTTTAGGTCAAAGGATGACAAATTTTACAAGATTTGTTCCAGTAGACTCGGAAAGGCTTTTTGTACGGGACTTTAATAAAGTCAATTTCATATTTGACGGAGAATCTAGATTAGATCTATTAATGCTATATGTAAACTTTACATCTACCTAGGAAAATTTGATACTTTTTTTTTGCCTTAATGTTCTACTCTTTAAACTTGTCTCCTTTATTTTGTAGTTGTGTGGACACCCTATTAGAAAGAGAGGAGGGGGACCTAAGGAATGAAATAGAAAACATTCAAGGTCAAATTTTTATGCTTCAAGTAGGTATGGAGGAGTTTGGTCTCCAGTTATTTCTTTAGCTTCATGGTTGTAACGATAGGTATATCGAACAACCGATAAATATCGATATCAAAAGAAAACCGTCATCGAAATTTAATATCGAATGAAATCCTATGAAATCGAATGAATACTTCCTCATCTATATTATATATAAAAATAAAAATGAATTTCCGTTCGTTAGTCTCGCTAAAATTCGAGAACGGCTGAACCGTTTCGACAAATTTTTGTCTTGAAATATTCGTGGAAGTCCTGGGAAGGTTTAAACGATGAGAAAATATAACAAAATTGCGAGTATAATACTAAAAACGACAATTTGATTTTCTCATACAAACTGTTTTTAACTATCAAACGTTCAGTTGACGATCAATATTTATGGTCGTGTAATGGTCAGTTTACGCAATATTTTTCAATATAAATATAGTTTTTATTAAGAAGTAAGTGATACGAAGTTCAACGGGTCAGCTAGTTAGTATTATAGAAAAGAAAGCACTTAAAAAGCACCTCCACCAAATGGCGATTCTAGCAAAAGTTGATTTTAGCAGGAAACGAATGGACCAAAGATAGTAATTTTCCGTTCCTTTTAATTCACATAATAATAATATAATATAAATAATTTAATAAATTCCATTGAATTTGCAAAGTTCGAAACTTAGATATCAACACAAATACGAAAAAGTACCAATAAAATATGAGTTTTTTTATTGATTTTTGAAAATTAATTTACTTTTATACATGAAAGAAAAGCGGAAGGGTTGTCACGGAGAAATCAAGAAAGTATCATAGCGACATCTAGTTTGATCTTGGGAACCAATGTTTTTTAAAATACTTCCTCATTACATTAGTAACACTTGAGTATTATTTTGTAACCTTGTTGTTTTGCTTTGATATTTGTAGTATTTTTTTAATATAGTTTAATTTATACTTAATTTCAAAACAAAGTGTTATTTCCAATCAAATCCCAATCTATTTAAAGAAGTAATAAGACATTTTGCCATTGTATTTAGGAGCATGCATTTTGAGTGTTTCTTCAAAGGCAACACATATAGAGTGTCAATATCTAGGAATGCTTTATCTTAATAATATTGTTACGGAGCGCAGCGTGGCAGTTCATCTACGCATTACTAGATGGCGTTATTTGCCAATGAATCGCGTTATCACTTTTAGGGGTTGCGTTGTGTGTGTTCTTCACAGGAATATCAAGTTGATGACGACATTAACTTGGATGATTCGGATGTTATAATTCAAACGCTTCTTAGATACACCAACAAATTATAGGTAGAACACTGGAAGTTTTTTCATATGTTGCTAACCGACTCGCTCAGAATAAATATATTCATCGTACATCCGTGACATAAACATTATGTAAACTATAATGGGGATAATATCTACGTCCCCCCGCCCCCTTTGGAGTGGAGAAAACCAAGAAAAAAACATTTTAAAACTTTTGTTATGTATGCCTTGGCAAGAGCTTCGTAATCTTGTTCCAAAGTCACAGCATCAATGCATTGCATGCATCAGCGACAACATTTCTTCTCCTTTATATGTCTTATGTCAGTCGTGAATTGACTAGACAATGAGGAAGAATTTAAAAAAAACATTAGTTCCCGAAATCAAACTAGACTCGCTACAGTACGTTCTTGATTTCTCCATGACAACCTTTCCGGTTTTCTTTCAAATTTAAAAGTATATTAGTTTTCAAAACTCAATAAACAACTCATATTGTATTTGTACTTTTCCGTATTTATATTGATTTATTCTAATATTCAAATTTCAGTTTTTTAATATGTTAGTTAAAAGGAACGGAAATCACTGTCTTTGGTCCATTCGTTTCCTGCAAAAATCAACTTTTGCTAGAGTCACCATCTAGTGGAGGTGCTTTTTTAGTGCTTTCGTTTTTTTATACTTCGGGGAGGAAGTTTCTCTCGGCGTTGTAAGAAAGCGTATTACAATGGCTTATGGTCAGTGTAAATGGTACAATGTTGGACCTCTAAAATGTGTCTAAAATGATGTACAATTTCGTACACTGCCAAAAGTTCTCTATAATACTGGCCACTGACTCTGACTAGCAGTTAGTTTCTTGCTGAAGAACGCAAGAGGCAGGTATACATGCATTAAGTTGAGAAGATGTACTAAACTTTTTTTAAAAGTAGATTTTTAATATTTTATATATTTCAGATCGGTAAAAGAGAATCATGGTTGTGATGCTATTGGGTACGTACAAGTTAAAAGAGAAGTGATGTGTGTATTGCCAAATGTAGAATCAAACCAGAATACTGCGAACGTACTTAAGCATATTGTTGCAGTTTAGAATGTAATGAAATTAACCAAGAAGTTATAAACGTAACCTACAAAGATTGTGCCGCCAGCAGAGGTAGTTGTAAACATATCATCGCATATTAACGTGGTCACATCGTCGAGGTAAATGTTTTTTTGTTTTTAATAGACGATACGAAGAGCTAGAATTTTAATTTAGTGAAAATTCGTCATTTTCAATAGTGGTAATTCAATATAAAATACACCAATAATTTTTTTTTAATTTAAGCGAATAGATTGTCCATAACATCTTCGATATTGTCCCAAATTTTGATTCTAATCGATACGTATAGATCGGAAAATAGGGTCAAAGTCATTGATAATTTTATCTCTTTGTTTTTAGAAACGGCGTTTTGGTCTATGGTTTTGTCTTGGACGTAGTTCTAATATAACAGGACAGAGCACTCAAAAATTGACATTTCGAAAATGAGCTACAATACTATCAACTAAAGTGTATTTTTAATTGTTCCTTCTACAGAAGGTACCGAGCCGAGAGTGATAGTCACAATAGAGGCTATGTATCTTGTTTTGTCATCTCACCATTATATTTTTTTAACTAAAATAACCTTAGTGGAAATACTTGTATTTTAATGGTAAATATTTAAAAATTTGAAATAATTATATAATAATTGAATTGAAAACGTTTATTGAACACGCACAAAATTACATATTTAACAAAAACAAAAAAAGGGAAGATATTACACATTAATTATTTACCGGCACGCCTTGACATATTTACCGGCGTGTGACGCCACAAATACCAAATGATCAAAGTCATTATATAGAGTAGCGTTTGTTTCGCGATTATGACGCATTTAAAATAGTTTTTAGAAAAATGACATATACCCAATTCGACCGACTTATTGGAGATCCGTAATATAAAACAACTTTTTCTAAATTCAATATAAATCGTCCGTCCTAAATAGTTCCGAAAATACTTTGACCACCCATCCTATTACTGACCTTTGTGATCGACGCTGAACACGCTACAAACCATCGGGCTTGTTTATATAGGAGGTTTTTGAAAAACTGAATTTATTTTAAAGATTTGGTAATATTAGTCTCTCGCAAGTGAGACTCCGCAACTGATATCGCTCCTCGATTTTATGAACAGAAAATTGAAACCACTCGAGCCCTCATATACTTGAAGCAATATCGTAGGCCATAGTACTTACATGCAATTCGATGTCGAAGAGATTTGTGAGCGATATTGATAGATTTTGCAATCTCAGTAGTAAACAAACTCTTGCGATTTTTTCATATGTATTATACGGAGCACGATTCGTGCGATATCACTCATCGATATCGAATTGCATGAAAAAGTATTTAGAAATAAAAAGTATTTTATTAAGTTCTGCTTAAAATCCATTAATGTGAGATAAAAAAAGACCATAATACAATGTCAAGTTAATCGTAGGTAAATAATATTAAGGATAATTATAAAGAGCTAACTGTTAAAGTGAAAAAGTTTCTTGATTGAATACGGACATTATAAGCCTAAGGGCCCTTTCTTAAAAGATAGTGATAATATATCTTGTCTAGAAAAACATTACTATATTGTTTCCAAGTATTGCGTGAATCTTAAACGTACATGGCTATCCTATTTTAATACTTCAGAAAGTGGTGAAAGGCCCCATAAAAATAACTTGCTACGGGTCCCACATAATATAGTTACGCCACTGCGAGAAGCTTGTAATCTAAAATAAATAATAAATGTTTAACAAGATTATTGTGTACGAAAATAGTCGCATTAGTAAAAAAACAGAACCATATGATATAAAAATAATATCGTCGCCCTATTAGATAGAGATAAATAGCTTCTGTACTCGACTTTTCGCTCGGCCCTTTTTTAGCTGGGAGTATTCTGTACTGTTATATAATGCTAAGTCCATGGGTTTTTTGATATTTGACAGCTAGGGATTTGAAAAATAGACAAAATAATAAGAGATAAGTGGATACAGTAATTTACCGATTTTAAAAACTTTTTATACTTTAAAAATATATTAGTTGTATATATATAGTTGTGGTTGAAAACAGGTGGCAACATTGGCTCTGCTAAAAAAAAATACTAAAAATGGCGGTGGCACTGTCACCAGATCAAGAATTGGTAAGTTTCTTCTTTTTAATAATAGTGTAGTCGATTTTCAATTTCATAGTATTAATAGAATTTGTTGTTTATTATCATTAATAATTGGTATAAAGTTATAGATTCAATTACGCCCTGGGAAGTGGTCACAATTTGCGTTGCTCTGCTTACCATGTCACCAATGTTTGTTTTGATTCATACTCTTTATTATTTTTAATATATTATACTAGATATTACTTTACGACGATTTGATTTAAAATACCTAATATATGTGGAATTATTAGATGAAATTAATTTATATATAGAAATATTAATTTGAAAGGTTTGAGTGGTTTAACGAACTGCTTATTTCATTGCGTGAATGAATGATATATGCTTAGGGGTTTCCGGCGAGCTTCTGTGTATATTTTTATGTACTGTATTCTGCTAACTTTTTATTATAAATGTTCAAATAAAGATTTTTCGCGTTTATTTAATAAGACATGATTTTCAGATTTCATACTTAGTGTTCAGATTCATTGCTCTCTGTTTCTTATTTAGGTCAAAGTAGAATTCTATAATGTGTAATAGTCAAGAAGTAATTATAAATATATTTTTTGTTCCTAATCCTTATTCAGTTTAAGATAGGCCATTATTTAAAATGTAATGAGACTTTCATTTTTAATAAATTCTTTTAGTATTATATTAAGAGCTTCTCTCTTATGCTCTAAAACTTGAAAGAATAACTACAATTGGCTATGGAATAAAGTATACTTTCATTTCAAAATTACAGATGATGCCTCCTATAATAATTAAATTTCATTAATAATAAATTTATATTTTTTAAAAACTTAACCAATTCATATTTTATATGTTTTGAGGAAAAAGAAAAACACATAACACTACATAAGTAACCTCACTCATACACTTACATGGTATTCTCCAAGCAAGCAAGATACAGCTATGAGTTCCAACTATAACATGAGTGAGACAGGAACTCACATTATGTTTTAAGATTAATTGAGACTGTTTTAAGATTAATTCATAATTAAATGTGGAACAGATTAACCTTTATTTACTTTTAACTTTAAATTATTAGTATGTGCTGCAATTAAAAGGTTATAAACACTGTTGCCAGTCTACAATTTTTTTTTTGTTTTAGACAATCTTTACAATTTTGCTCAATATGGATATTTATTTTTCTTAAGTATCTGCTAGATATTGCAAAACTTTTTTTATCTAAAAATATGAGACTATAGAAGTGCAAAGACTGAACTGCAGTCATGATGGAGAGGCGATAAATATGAAATTCATTAGAGTAAATTAAAAATAATGTAATAAGTTATAATTATTGAAAATATCAAACACTGTATTAAACAACAAAACAATAAAATGTTTAGTTTTATCTAATGGCTTACTTTGGCTTACTCATTTTTACTTTGTATAAGAGAGACTAACAAAGGACGAATAGTTTGAAGAAGTCACTAATACTATAAATTAATAATACACTAGAATCCGCAAAATATTTTTTTCCCACAAAAACTAGAATTTCACTCGCTAATGTTTCGATTTGATTTCTATGTACATGCTAGCTTTTGATGGCTACTTCGTCCGCGTGATATAGTTAAGTTGGGCAGCATTTTCAAAACGCTAAAATAAATATTTATTCACTTTATCATGTAAAAAACCTGAATATACAGTTTCAACCACATTACACTTTTAAAAAGCCTCTAAAAACCTCTGCCCTATAGTAACCTATAACCTATGTACCCTATAACCGAATAGAGAAAAATAAAAATCTCAACTGATTATTTCTCAATAATTTTCACAAGTCATAAAGTCCTAGTTTTTATCTAACTGTTATCCACTGATCATTAAAAAAACTTAAGTCAGAAACGAAAACCTGTTTGTGAAGTGACATTTAAGTACAGTTTAAGAGCCCTTTTACAAATTTGCACTCTGTGAGTTTAGCTATTTGCAGCTTATCGACCACTTGTCTACAGTCACTAGTTCACAATACCATAGTATTATAGATTAGTACGCCGACTCGAGCACTGAGCAAGCAAAGCGATAATAACCTAACAGGTAAGGTTGTTGCTTATAGGTACTTCAATCGTCATAAATGCAAAGACCATATAGAAAACATCAGGGATCTATAATACAAGGTTTATTAATTATTTCCTGAGGTAAAAATTGAAAATTTTTCATTACGTCGTGTGATCTGTTGAGCGTTTTGAAAAATTACGGTCAAAAAGGATTAGTCAAAACGTGACATTCGTGAATCATGTATTTATTGAAATAAAATTAAATGATTACAAAATTGTATGTTTTATACTGTTACCTATTTTTTCACACAAAATTCCAATTTGATAGATGAATATTTTTACGATAGTAAGTCAATCAAATAATATGAAGAAAAAAAACTAAGTACTTTTCTCTGTATTTGAATTTTTTTTTAAATATTTTTACACGACTGACCAAGAAAAGGAGTATATTGTGTTTAGGAGTAATAAAATAAGAAGTATTTATGTGAGTTTTTTTATTCCACTATTACTGTTGCGGATCTTCCTGATCTTGAATAGCTTCAACGTAGCTAGCCGATGTTGGACTGTAGAATAAAACTCCTTCGATAATTTTCACTTCTTCTTTATTGAATCTTGAGGGCCGGAGAGCTCACAAAAACTGCTCAAATCGACACGTCTTACATTTGCTGGGATGGCTCGGAGTTAGCTCCGTATTCAGGAATAATTTAAAACCACTGCGAAGATTTTGTGAAAATAAACTTTAAGTAATTTAAACAAACACGTATTTTTATTTTGATATGTTCTAATACTAAAAAATAAAGTTATCGCTTACCAAAGATCGAGATTTTAAAACTAAATTTATGAACACCGCACGCCGTGCGTCAGCTGAGCGCGCGCTCGACGCCGTAGGTATGTACTCGTAGGTACGAGTATCTATCTACACGGGTCACTGGCCGCTCATTTTGTTAGATTCGAAGTAGATTTTATGTTATGATTTGAGGTGATTTGTAAAAGTAATTCCAATTTTCCCTTCATACTTTTGGTTGGTTGGTATCAAAATGTAAAAAAATAAAAGAGAAATAAATTCGTTACCTAGAAAAAAATATTAACGTTACATAGGTACTTCTGCGTTAAGGCGTATTTAAAAAATTGGAATCAACTACGTATTTACAATAAGGTTGAATCAAAAATAATACCTAACTACAATCATAATACCTAACTACAATAATAACCGAATTCGATTACTTACCAAATCTTGAACTGATCACTGTATTTTAATATTTGTTCAAAATGAAGTCCACCTTTGTCCAGACATAAACGTGCACATTTCATTAAATTTATATTTAATTTATTTAAAACTCTAGTGTCACTTTTCACTTCACTAAAAGCGTTATTATTTTTTATTGTTAAGTCTTCTAGGCTTTGTACCTCCTCTACATCCCGGCGTTTGACTTCTTCCCATAAGAAACAGTCCCACACGTGTGAACAATGCCTCATCCATCCACAAGATGTTTGCATTGCGATGATGTAGAAGCCACTCGCATAAGACTCGACGTGGTACTAGGTCTAGGTCATGGAGCTGCTGAACCGGCTGAAAGTGGTATGGATGGAGTCCGGCTATATTACGCAGCTTCAATACCGCGGGCTGGCTCACACCAAAGCGACGTGCCGCATAGTGGGTACTGACTCTGGGACTTCGTCTGTTAAACTGGTTCGTGCATTAGGGAACGCGGGGTTACGGATCCCAAAGGCTCACATACGAGGTATACTCTTCGTCGCATACTTTTTCCGAACTGCGCTTAGGTTCTCACCACTCCGAAGATAAACTCTTACGGGCACTGCGCTTGCGCGGGAACGCGATGGCGCGTCACATCGGCGCGTGCGTATGAGTCTCTCTGCCGGCACTGTCGCGCGCGTCGCTCGGTCCCGAGTGGCGGGAGCTGCCGGGCGCGGCGGGAATGCACGGTAGTTGCAAGAGGAGACGGTTTCATTGAAGTTTTATTTTAAAAAATGTGTCCATTTCAATAGGGATAAAAATATTTAAAAAAAAGAAACTAATTATGGAAAAGTGTTCTATTACTGATACTGAAAAAAATATTTCTGTATAACCAGTTTGTTATCATATAACATATTGTCCCCCTACTTGGCGAAGCCCCCCCCCCTCTTAACATCTATGTATTACATTATCGTTACTAATACAATTTACTGCTTTACTTATTTACATTACAAACTAGGTAAAAAACATTCATATATAACTCGTATCGTGTCGGACAAGACGGCGCTTTTGAAGTTCATAATCCTTCTAAGGCGCGCCGCGCTCTTTCCCGACGTATCTATGTGGTCAGAGCGAGACGGAAGAGCCCGCGTAAACTAGCGCCGTCTCGCTCTGATACATTTTTATCGTAAATGTAGGGTAGGTGCATAATTTACATTTAATACTCACCTGTCATCGAGGCAATACCTTATAGAAAACCACATAAGCCCCTTTTAGTACTTTATAGATGTTCGAAACTTACTTTCTCAGAAATGAACCGATTTATGAAGAACGACATTCTTCCAATTTTGATTGTAGTCGATCTAGCTTTTCGAGAGTAGACTATTTTTAGGAGCAAACACTTATTGTAAAAACGTGTCCATTTGGGTACTTTGATTATATAAAGTCCCACATTCTGTGTCCCATACAAAGCGCAACGATATATTGTGAAGCCGTGTTAGATTCGTGTGTGCGTGAGCATAGAGCGTGTATTAATTTCAAAGTTTTCATTTATGCCATGAGTGATAGATAACAGTAAAAACAACGATTACCTCGAAATGTTGGAATTTTTTGTTGCTAACTTATAAATATGATTAAAATACCCATTCGGTAATAAAAATGATTATGCTCATAATAGAACTCGCGCAACTAAGATCATTTAACTTTCAACTCCTGTTAACTAAATGATTAAGACTAAGAAATAACGTGCTAATTGATTCAAGAGTCGTATTATGTCCAAAACGTTTTTTTTTATTTATTCGGCAGTGAATAAATCACAAAATTACACTGGTATTAATATTTTTTAATTGTAATTATACCCATTTATATAAGGAAAATATATAAGTGTGTAAATCACTTTATAGCCAATATCATAATAGTTTTACGAGTTTTAGGAGTAAAAAACTTATTTTGTCGCGCAATTTGCTATCCTCTGTTATTATCTATCTCAATGTTCAGTCCAATGACTGTTATTAATTCGGTTGGAAATGTATAAAAAAACTTCAAATTTTTATCAATAATGCACAATGGAAAGCGCCTAATAAAGCAAACATTGTTTTATAACAGTATAAAATATTAGGTCCTTGCATATGAAATTGGTATTTGGTATGGGAGGAACAAAAAGTCGAATATTTTTTAATATATTATATTTATTTAATCGAAGTATAAACCATTATTACCTATGCACTTTTGCCATTTCATAGGTAGTTCATTGATCCCCTTACTAAAAAAACCATTCGGAGGGGAATCAATAAAATATTTGAAGGCGATTTGCACTGCCCCATCGGAGTTGAATTTTTTCTCTTGCAAGAAGTTATCCAAATTTCGACAAAAATGGTAATCTGTAAGGTCCGGGGAGTACGGTGGATGTCTTAGACATTCCAATTGAAGCTCTTCTAATTTGGTAGCCGTCTGTTGTGCAATGTGTGGTCTAGCGTTGTCGTGAAGTACCAGTGGCGTAGAGAATTGACTAGCCTCGGTTGTTTAACAGCAAGTTTTTCCAGCATGGTTTGCAATTGCTGACAATAGACGTCTGCCATAATCTTCTGGCCAGATTTGAGAAAAATGTAATGAATGACACCGGCACTAGTCCACAAACGCTTACAAGTAACTTTTTTGGGGTCAATTTTCGTTTGGGGCAGGATATGGCTGGCATGCCAGGGTCTAACCATTGCGATGAGCGCTTCCGATTATCGTAGAGAATCCACTTTTCATCACAGGTAATGATTCGATTTAAAAACCCTTAATTATTGTGGCGGTTAAGTAATGTAACGCAGCAGTCAAAGCGCGTTTGCCGGTTTGCTTACTCCATTCGTGAGGTACCCACCTTTCAAGCTTTTTAATCTTTCCAATTTGCTTCAAGTGGATTAAAACAGTTTTATCCACTAACACCGCAGCCTGCAGCTAACTCGGACGTGGTTGTCGGACGTTTTCACAATAGTCACTGAGCAACACAAAGATAAATAAACTAAACTAAAACCATTTGGTCGAATTTATTTAAAAATACGGAACAAGCAACAGTATTATAAAAAATGAGAAATTAATTTTACACCATAGTAACATGCATTCCAATTTTATCAGTTTTGATTTTAATACGATTTAGAAAGCAATAACAGTCAGCAAATTACTCCCATATTATGTAAAGAGATGCTCAAATTGACCGGGCCTGTTATTATAGCTCGCTCGGCCTAGTATTTTTTTACTATGTTCGAACGGATGCATAAAAGCGCGAAGTAATTCGACATAGGTTCAACGTTGAGGAGCGTACGCGCAGTACTGAGTCAGATCAGAAGGCTGGGGCGTCGCAATTTGTAGTATTTATGCGGTTACTAGGGTTCATGATTTCTCGAGCTTTTCAATTTCTCGGGTCTCGAGAATTCTCGAGGCTTCTCGGGTTGCCGAGAAATTTACATTTATTTACTTTTTCGCATGTTATTTGGTTCCAATAACGTTAACAAATTCAGTGGTTTTCCTCTCAATTATTTGAGATATAAAATAATAATAATAATAATAATATAATCTTTATTGCACACATACAGACAGGAAAACAGAAAGAAATTACACAGTAAAACAATACAAGGTACACAAAAGGCGGCCTTATTGCTAAACAGCAATCTCTTCCAGGCAACCTATGGAAGGGAATAATAAAAGGAAAGGGAAAATATGGGGTATTGGGTGCAATGGTCAGAAGGATATGATAAGATATATCTTTGCATATTAAATAAAAAAAGTATAAGTAAATAGTATTAACATAGAGAAAGGAAATAGCTTTCAACTCGATCGCCGAAAGAATTAAGTGAGCGAGTGTGCCTAACATCCTCCGGGAGAGAATTCCATAAACGCACAGCATGTACAGAAAAGGAATAGGAGAAGAAATCGGAACTATGACGCGGGATGTCCAAAGTGAGGTTGGATGAGGATCGCAAGGAACTCAGTGACGAAGAAGAACGAAAAGAGAAACATTGTTTGAGATAGTGTGGAGAGGAAGGTAGGAAAAGTATAGAATATAGTAACTTTAAAGTGTGTAAGTCCCTGCGCCGGCGAATAGGGAGCCAAGACAATCTGGAACGAAAATTCGACACATGGTCAAATTTACGAAGGTTAAAAATGAATCGGATACAAATATTCTGCAGACGCTCTAATTTGTTGAGAAGTTCCTCTGATAGATCCGTGTAGCAAACATCAGCGTAGTCTATGATCGGTAACAATAACGAATGAGCTAAAGAGACTTTAGTACTAGTAGGCAAAAAGTTGCGTAGTCTATTAAGTGAATAGTACGTGGCAAATACCTTTTTTCTAACGGCATCCACTTGCGGCTTCCAGGAAAGATTTTGATCGAAGATGACGCCAAGGTTTCTAACAGTTTTTGAATAGGGAATCACAATACCGTTAAAAATTACTGAAGGTAGTAACTCAGGACTAACCCTAGAAGTAAAATGAGAACTGCCAATTAGAATCACTTGAGTTTTAGAGGGGTTAACAGTAAGACCGTATGAATCACTCCAATTACTAATGCGAGACAGGTCAGAGTTTATTACTGAGACTGCCTCTGATAAGTGCGAAAAAGGCGCTTGAGTATAAATTTGAAGGTCATCTGCATATAGGTGATAGGAACAAGAAAGCAAATCAGTTATGGAATTAATAAATATAGAGAAGAGAAGAGGAGATAAGACGCCACCCTGAGGAACACCGGCTTTGATATCGCACCACGCAGAGACGGATTCGTCAATGCGGATCCTTTGCCGGCGTCCTAGCAGGTAACTTCGAAACCAGGCAATTGCAGCTGGAGATATGTTGAGAGAAGCCATTACACCGAGAAGGATGTCAAAATCAACCGTATTGAAGGCATTGCTAAAATCTAACAATGTCAACAACGTAAGCTGACGATTTTCCATACCTCGTCGAATGTCATCAGTAATTTTCACCAATGCAGTAGTAGTGCTATGGCCAGTACGAAAGCCGGATTGAAATGGATTAAGAAGGTGGTTTGGATTAAGAAAAGCCAGTAACTGACGGTTAACAAGTTTTTCAAGGACTTTGGAGAGAAATGGGAGAATGGAAATTATCAAATTAATTATAAAAACTTTTATTGATTATATTCAAAAACATTAATCTTATGAATAAACTAATTAACTTTTTTTTTAAATACAGACAATATTATTAATTTTTATCGGTAAGTTTTGCTTTAGGACACCGTTATGGCGTTTGACCTGGGATCATTACTTTTACGGTTATCATAAAGAATTCACTTTTCATCAAATGTCATTTCTGTCCCGATT